TTTTCTTTCTCAATCACAGGTAATGGTCTATAGCTATTTTCATATAGAGAATCTAATAGGCATAATATGAGGCCAGCCACAAAGTAAATGATGTTTAAGAGGATTGTAAAAGGAAAATTAGAAATGGAGGTGGAAATTAGAATTGAGATGGCCTGGGAAAAACATACTGCCAAAAATGGGGGTAAAATGAAATAAGGTTAGAATATTAGCAATAACATACAGGTGAATATTTGCATTTGAACTATCTATTAAACATTTTCATTTAAGCAAATTGGAATATGTGAAAGTTTAGTTCACATGAGAGGGAGTGTCAATTACAGAAAATTTTAAATTTCACTCTGCCCTGTGCAGAGGGTTAAGTGTAACCACTGTGGACACACATATCTTTTAGAGAAGTTCTCAACGTTACCCATGGAGGTTGCAATAGGTCAGATCTACAGCTGTCACTGGGACCTTCATCAGGGATGCTGGAGTTCATGAAGATTATGGAAATACCTCCATGGAGTATATTAAAGGGACTTAAAGGTGTTTAAATATTTCTAAAGCAAGACAATTTTAAGTACTGTTTATAATGCTGCAATCTCCAGATAGTTGTGATATTTATCTACCAGTGTTAAATACATCTCTGGTTATTTTATTTAACTTGGGAAAGTTATTAACCTTCAGGTGACTACAGATGACTACTTCGGTTTCATTATACCTAAGAGACCTCCTTGGAGACAAGTTCTGCACTTATACTTTGTAGATATAATTAAGATTACTTTTTAATGGGCTAGATGCTGACATGAGGGACTAGGAAGAATCAGAAATGAATACTAGGTTTCTGCTTAGAGCAACTTAATGATACTTAAAGCACTGTACAAGATGGATGTGTAGGGGCTAGGATGTGTGTGTGTGTGTGTGTGTGCACACGCGTGTGCCCCTTGAGAGTTTTAAATACAGTTTCACAACTATTTTATGCTATTTCTGCTCATCTGATATATAGCCCTAATTTTATATCACATAACACCAATTAATATTGAAAAAATGAGAAAACAAGAAGGGGTAAGAAATGGCAATATAGTGGTGAATATGATTATAGTACATTTTATGCATGTATGGCAATAGCATAATAAAACTGCATTGTATAATTAATATACCTTAATAAAAATTTGAGAGAAAAGATGATGTTGGTTTCATTTAAAGCTTTGATGAAGTGAGCAAGTAATGGTTCTGAAGTCAAAGACATGGAGGACTTAAAATAAGCATAGGCACTGATCAGGGTATTAGTGTTCAGTTGCATATAAACATATAGATTAATAATTGTGATAGAAAAAGGAATAATACAATTAATGAGATAAACTTAGGACACGGAATTTCTGGTTTATTGAAATAGAGACAATTTAGTCATTGATTTCAGGAGTTGTCTGTTTTGTTTTTGGTGTTAGTCTAAATGTATTGACTTGCTTTATATCTTGAACTATTTAAAAAGTTCAAAACATAATATTTTGTACATGACAATGCTTATCAGCACTAGATACACATTAGAATTATCTGGGTGAATTTCTTAACTTCTTTGTACACCCAGATTCCAATTTTCCCTGCTGCTTTTTCTTCTCAGAGATTGGTTCAATTGGTCTGGGATCAAGCCCTAGGTATCAGTAAATGATTTAACTCCTCAAATAATTTAGGTGGGGTTCAGAATGATCATTTTCAACATCATCTTTGGCATCTCAATAAGATGGTATCTAGGCAAAAATTTAGGGAGTTGTTTTTAGTGCTTCTAGTAATAAATCATGCTTTTGGGTAATGTTAATATTTACCTATTGTACAAAGTGCAGAAGAGTATATTGCCTTTTATGTGTAAAAGAATGGAAAATAGGAAACATACACATAACTGTCTTTAAGAAAATACAGCTAGGATAATGTTGTTACCTGAGAAGGTGGTGAAGAGGTTAAGAATGGGAAAACACCTGTGCTGGCCTTGAAATGTCAGTTGTTTGTAGGAGTTTTGCAGTTGGTTGAAATTACGTTGATATTATGTTAGAAGTGTGAAATTAGCTACTGCTCTGAAATCACAAAATGTTACACATGGATAGGATGCACAGCAATGCATAGGGTGGAAGGGAAATGGGAAACAGTAATACTTCTTTGATAATACTTTTAACAATATATATTTGCCTTTTGGAAGCGTGTCCATCTTTTATACATTAAAAATTGAAAACAAATTAGAGTGGAAATAGCTAGAAACCCTCTAAAACTGAATGCGACTGTAAATGACTGGGTAATTGTATTGCAAATGAATATCTTTAACCAAATAATATCTTTAACAAAGAAAATCTAGACATTCACAGTATTTGACTACCATAGTCTTGGATAGGATTAAGAAGTGGGTAGAAAATGCAGGAACTGTAAACAAATTCTGAATTACTTTTAGTAATTAGTTGGTTATTGGAATGGTATGAGTGACACAATTACGAAAATACTTTAGCTGTGTTACTATCTTAAGCACAAAATTGTTATTGAGTGCTAGGATTTTCAGTGTGGAAGATGGTACGTATCAGTACAGATTGGAGCTATAAGAAAGAGTCCTGGAATATGACTCCGAATTGAAGAATTCATTGTTAGCCTGCATGTGTGTGTGTGTGTGTGTGTGTGTGTGTGTGTGTGTGCATATGTAAATGTACGCATGTTTGTGTAAATGTGTATGTATGTGAATCTGCATGTGTGCTTATGTGGAGTTTTCTTTTGCTAAAGGAGTCATGAAGCAGAGGAGCATTTCTAGTACCTAGATCATGGTAGTAATTTTGTTGCCTCTTAGACTTCCATTGAGACATGACAAGTTTCAGTATAGGTAGAATATGAACTGTAATATCTTCTTCTATGAGAGAGTTGATCCTAAAAAAAAAACGAGACAAAAAATGACCATCTATCTAAGGGACATAGGAAGCAATGTGAGCCCTTTCCTCCCACATCACTGGCCTAAAGTTTGGTAATAAAGTATAAACCATTAGGATTGGGTGGGGGGGGGGCGAGGGGAGGATGGGAAGGGATAGGAAGGGGAAACAAAGGAGGAGGCTGCAATGCTTGATAAGAAATGTACTCATTATCTTGCCCATGTAATTGTAACCCTTCTGTATAGTATTTTCACAATAAAAAAATAAAGTATAAACCATTAAAACTGGCATTCATGAACCCACAAGGACATGAAATTGGCAGTTAAATAAGTAGATAGAAAGACAATGAAATAAATAATTGAAAGGGAAGAGTGGGCTCTTGCTTATGGTAGAATGTTGAGCATTTAATGACAAGGATGCAGGGATTGTGGGATTAGATCAAGGTTAAACACTGAGGGCCAGAAGCTACCATGTATCTGCAAATGTGGTACCCTGAGAAAGTTAAACATTGTCTATTAGTGTTCTCCCAGGAGTTCGTAATCAAGATGTAAATATAAGAAACTATCAGATAAACCTCAAATAGGAAGATTCTATTATCTACAAAGAAGATATATGATTCCTCCAAACTGTAGAAGTCAGCAAACAAAGAAAGCCTGTAGAAATATTCCTGCATAAAAAGAGGCTAAGCAGACATGATGACTAAAAGCAATATATCAACTTATACTCGATCACAGACTGTAGAGGCATTATGAGACTTATCAGTGTGGATACGAATGGGAGAAAGTATTGTATCACAGATATATTTACAGAATTTGAAAACTATATTGTGGGTATATAAGAAAAAATTCCTGTTCCTTTTTTTAAAAAAATACATGTGGAAGTACGTAGAGATATAGAACCATTACATTTGTTATCTTCCATGAAATACACATATATATCTATATATGTGCATACATATACACACATATATTTTCATACACACACATTGGTGTGAGTAGAGAAAGAGAAGCAATCATGAAGGACAAATAAAAAGTTAATGGTAACATTAATAACAAGTGAATTGGGGTTTGATTGGTGTTTGATTGACAGGTGTTTTCAGTGCTATACATCTTTTCTGTAAATTTAAAATTATTTTCAAATATGAAGTTCAAAAGTAAAATTATACAATATTATATTTCATAGTTCATAGTTGTACATATAAAACACGTTTATATTTAATGTTAATATATTTGTAAGTTAAACTTGACTTATAAACTACTTGAATGTAAGATTTTAGTTTTGCCGGGTGCCAGTGGCTCATCCCTGTAATCCTAGCTACTCAGGAGGCTAAGATCTGAGGATCTCGGTTCAAAGCCAGTCCGGGCAGGAAAGTCTGTGAGACTCTTTCTTTTTTTTAATTTTATTTTATTTTATTTGTGAACATACTGTACAGAGGGGTTACAATTACATGGGCAGGATAATGCGTACATTTCTTACCAAGCATTGCAGCCTCCTCCTTTGGTTTACCCTTCACATCCCTTCCCAGCCTCCTCCCTCCCCCACATCTGTGAGACTCTTATCTCCAATAAACCACTAGAAAACTGGAAGTCATGCTGTGGCTCAAGTAGTAGAGCGCTTGCCTTGAGCTGAAGAGTGCAGGAACAGCGCCCAAGCCCAGAGTCCAAACCCCAAGACTGACAAAAAAAAATTAGTTTTCTTAAAGTATTTAATGAAGTTATTGAGTTAATTGAATATGTATGTTGAGGATCATTGCTAATTCAATATAACTTCATTCATTAAAGAGATTATAATCATGTAGTTCTTTCTTTTAACTTGCAGACTTGTGTAGGGGTGTGTGTGTGTTTGTGTATGTGTGTGCACTGGTCCTGGGGCTTGAACTCAGAGCCTTGGCACTGTCCCTGTGCTTTTCTGCTCAAGGATGACAGTTTATCACTTAAGCCCCAGGTTCAGTACCAGCCTTAATTGGAGATAAAATCTTTCAGATTTCCTTCCTGGGCTGGTTTGGAACCACGATCCTCATATCTCAGTCTTCTGAGCCACGAGTGCCCCACAGCTCCCAGAATCACATTTAGACTCTTACTAAGTACTGTCGTTCTCACTACACGTTGTCTTGTTCTTCTGTAGAGATTTATACCTACCAAATCAGTCACCCCAGCTCCTGGTGCATATAATGCAATCCAAACTCCTGTCAAGTGCTCAAAGAAAGCACCAGTGAAACATATCCCATTTGGTCAAGGTGCTGCTCGATTCAAACAGATCTGCAAGAAAGAGGAATTACCAGGTATACAATTCATATACACATTTCTAGTGTTTGTTTTATGTACCTTAACATTCTTAACAAGCTGTATATACCAGAGATAATGGTGTCTGTGTGTGTGTGTGTGTGTGTGTGTGTGTGTGTGTGTGTGTGTGTGTGTGCTGGTAATGGGACTTGAACTCTAGACTTGAGTCTGTCTCTGAGCTCTTTTGCTGAAGGCTCATGCTCTACCCCTTGGCCACAGCCCCATGTGGGGCTTGCTAAATATATGAATGCTTTTTCTTAAAAAAAAAAAGCAACAAATTACTTAGTTCAAAAAAAATGAATTAAAATCAAGTTTATTCTGATATATAATATTCTTTACAATTTTAGGTCCAGGATTTTATAATATCCTACACAACAGTATAATTGACAATATTAAAAATATCTGCTCAAAGAAAAATAGTAAATGTGCATTTGGTTCTTCTACTCCTCGAAGTTTTTTTCAGATCTCGAAAGAATCTCCTGGACCTTCACACTACCAGGTAATATGCCATAACAACAAAATATTCTTTCTATACAATACCAGCTTCATAGGGTTCTTTTAAAATTACATCTGCAAACAGAAGTAGTAGACAAAGATGTGTTATTGTTGTGACTATATTTAATAGCTTAGGAAAAGCAGGAGAAAGATCGAGCATATTAAGTAGAGAAATAGCACGAATGATAAAAGGTACAAATTGAAGTTCTAGAGATGAAAAATATAACACTTGAAAAAAATGTGCACATGCCCACATTTGTTCACACAGGGTAAGCAGAATGGTAAAGGCCTGCAGATTTGACCCAACAAATGAAGATATTTGGAGACAAATGAAGGTTAAGGAGAATGAACCACACAGCTAGGTTTAAAATGGCAAGTTTTCTAATATGGAAGCATTCTGTATGACAGGAGGCAAATAATAAAGCTCATAGCTGAGTGATAGTTTCAGAATTCAGTTCAGTGGTTTAATACAGTTTTCAGATGCATATGATTTTTCAGATGTGACCAATGGTAGCAACAATAAAGACAAAAGAAAGAATATTTTATTTACATGCCAGTAAATAAAATGCTTAACAAGTTAAAGGAAATTGCTATATAATAATGATTCATGGGCTATCTTCTGTTTTATTGCACATATCATACTCCTACAAGCTGGTTGAGAAAAGACTCTCATATTTTCCTGGTTGCCCTTGAGTGTCCCCAATCTCAACCTCCCAAGTATCCAGGATTACAGACATGAACCACTGGTACACAACTTTGAATTATTTCGAAAAGATTCATTTCTTTCTTTCTTTTTTGTTTTTGTCGCTTGTGGGGCTTTAACTCTGGGCCCGAGCACTGTCCCTCAGTGCTCAGCTCAAGGCGAGCGCTCTACCACTTGAGCCACAGTGCCACTTCCGATTTTCTGAGTGTTTAATTGGAGATAATAGTCTCAGGACTTTCCTGCCCGGGCTGGCTTTGAACCACGATCCTCAGATCTCAGCCTCCTGAGTAGCTAGGATCATAGGCATGAGCCATCAGCACCCAGCCTGAAAGATTCATTTTTCATGTTTCCCACTGTTCTTTTAATTTGTTTCTATTTTGTTGAGTACATTAATCACAGTTATTTTAAAGTACTTATTTGCTAGACCTAATATCTGTGTCATCTATTGCTCTTAATTTTCCTTATTTATATTTACGTACTTACGTATTTATTGGTACTGTAGATTTGAATTCAGGACTTTTTGCTTGTTGGCAAAGTGCTCTACAATTAAGTTGTATTTCCAGTTTTTGCTTTTAGTTTTGTTTTTCAGATAGAGTCTTGTACTTTTTCCTGGGCCAGTCTCAGATAGTGATCCTTTCACTTCTGCTTTTTGAGTAGTGGGATTACAAGTGTGTGTCACCACACCTAGATTGGTTTTGACAAGAGTCTTGCTAACTTTGCTTTGGATGGCCTTGAATCAATGACTTCCTGTTGGTGCCTGATACCTGTTCACTTGATATTTAATCATATACATACTGTGTCTTTTGAAATGCCTTATAGTTTTAATAAGATGACATATATTGTGTCTAAAATGTTTATAGAGTTTCTAAATAGTGGGGTTTTTTTTTTTGGGTCCAGTTGTGGGGCCTGAACTCTGGGCCTGGGCGCTGTCCCTCAGCTCTTCAGCTCAAGGCTAGCGCTCTACCACTTGAGCCACAGTGCCACTTCCGGCTTTTTTCTTTTTGCTTATGTGGTGCTGAGGAATCAAACCCACGGCCTCATGCATTGCAAGGCAAGCGCTCTAGCACTGAGCCACCTTCCCAGCCCAGTGTTTTTTTTTTAACTGGAAAAATTTTATATTTTTCTTTCTTTCTTCTTCTTTTTTTTTTTTTTGGTCGGTCGTGGGGCTTGAACTCTGGGCCTGGGTGCTATCCTTGTGCTCTTCAGCTCAAGGCTAGCACTCTACCACTTGAGCCACAGTGCCACTTCTGGTTTTCTAGTGGTTTATTGGAGATAAGAATCTCATGGGCTTTCCTGCCTGGGTTGGCTTTGAACCGCGATCCTCAGATCTCAACCTAGTAGCTAGGATTACAGGTGTAAGCCACCAGCGCCCAGCTTATATTTTTCTTTTTGAAACAGATCAAGTCCTGTACTATGTTGACTACATTTTTTATATTTATCTGCCTATCTATCTGTCTATCTGTCTATCTATCTATCTATCTATCTATCTATCTATCTATCTATCTATCTATCTATCTATCTATCTATCTATCTATCTATCTACCTACCTACCTATCTATCCATCTATCTATCTAATTTTGAGTTGCTGATGCTCAAACCAAAGGCATCAACATGCTAGGAAGGCATTCTACCTCTAGCCCTATGTGCTGTTTACATTTTTGACAGTTTTTAGCTTACTTCTGGTTGTCACACTTCCTTAAAGGTAGTTCTTTGGGAAGATCCATAGTGAACTTGATGTATTCAGTGTCCTTCTTTGTGCCAGGTTATGATCTCTAGTCTTTGAGGCTTCTGCATCCTAATTTTGTGGCTTATGTTTTATGGCTTTGCTCTGCCTTTAACTCTTGCAAATATTTAAATTTTGGTTTTGTCATTCTGGCGCATCAAAAAGGCAGTATGATAAGTTCACAATTCCTAAGCATCACTGCTGTGTGAGGTGTGACACCAGATTCTTGCTGTATTGTCTATTACTAGATATGCCCCCAGGGAAAAAGCAACATAGGTTGACAGATTTTTTTCATAAAAATATTGTATTGTTATCATTAAGGTCTTGTACATAGGGGTTACCATTTCATAAGTCAGCTGGTTGACACGTGCAGCTCTAAGCAATTTCCACAAGTCCCTGAGGCCTTCAGAAAGTAGGATTTTGTTATATGTTATCTGGATTTACTTTTAATTTTTTATAGTATAAATATGGTCTGTTGAAAACTGTTCACCCCTTTGAAATCCAAAAATTGCTTAAAAGGTAATGCATTCCTTGATAATTTTACTGAAAGTTGGTGACTTCTATTTCCTAAGGAGTAAAAATTGAAACCATATTGGAACTTCCTTCCATCAAATTTCTAGTGCCATGTACAAGACAATGAAAATCACAAAAGTAACTTATTTCTTAGCTTCAGAATCTGAAAATTATACAGTAATAATGCTGGCTCATCTGTTCTGTATTTGAAGGCTCTTTCATTTTCAAAAGATGTAATTGTGATAGTTTTGTAAGGAAGCAGATTGAATCTATCTATGCACTTTCTTTTGAATGACTGGGTAGAAATACTATCCCGAGGAAAGGCTGAAGAATGCCAACTGCAGCATTAGGGGTAGAGGACCAGGTAGTTTCATGAAGCAGCTAGAGCATGTGGGGCATTATCTTTTTTTTTTAAGTTAATTAAAATTACCAAGAAAGACCAAAGTAAGAAATCTCTTTAACAATTTTCTAGTTATGTGTCAGATTTTTGAGACAGTAGCTATTAATAAAATCATGAAATAACACAGTGAAGTATATAAAAATGGGAATAAAAAACCTTACCCTTTGTATCAGCAAAGAATGTTGCTGCTGCTTACACAGTTTAAATTATTAAATGCATGCAAATAAATAAATTGTAAATCAGAAACAGTACAATATCATAAGGATTAATTAATTGCAAATTAAAATTTTAGATTATTAGCCTCTGTTTATCTATTATGTCTTCAGTGAAATTATGTCTGAGAGTGTTGTTCATTTTGCTTAGAAAAATATATTAGTGAAGAATTTCCACATTTTTAAGTTATGGTTAATAGATTTTATGTATGTATGTTTATATTTTTGTTTCTGGTCCTGGTGCTTAAACTCAGGGCCTAGGCACTGTCTCTGAGCTTTCTGCTCAAGGCTAGCACTCTACCACTTGAGCCACAGCTCCATTTCCAGTTGTTTTAATAGTTAGCTGTATATTAGCACTGAAAATCAGAGTCTTACGGACTTTCTTGCCTGGATTGGCTTTGAACCATGATCCTTAGATCTCAGCCTCCTGCATATCTTGATTCAGGGGTGAGCTACCAGTGCCTGGGGATTTTATTTTATGTATTAATAATGATAAAAAATAATATATAATTGAGCACATGCCTTATATATATTGAGATTACAACCTATTGGTTGTAAAATATAAGCAGAATTGATGTGAGGTTTTTGTTTTTTGTTTTGGGTCCAGTCATGGGGCCTGAACTCTGGGCCTGGGCGCTGTCCCTTAGCTCTTCAGCTCAAGGCTAGCGCTCTACCACTTGAGCCACAGTGCCACTTCCGGCTTTTTTCTTTTTTGCTTATGTGGTGCTGAGGAATCGAACCCAGGGCCTCAGGCATGCAAGGCAAGCTCTCTACCACTGAGCCACCTTCCCAGCCCCTGATGTGTGAATTTTATGGCAACATTGCACCCCTAGTGTGCCTAACAAGTTTATAAGATCCACCAACCTTACTTAGATGTTAATTTAGCCAACTGTTTCCACTGTATTAGGCTTTATACATCAAGATTTGATGTAAATTTTAAAATCTGAGTATGTGTCTATTTCTAATGAAGAAGTAACATCTGTGTGTGATTGTGAACTTATTTATAACCCTACATGCATTTATGAAATAGTTTTTTGCTTTGTTTTGTTGTTGGTTGTGGGGCTTGAATTCAGGGCCTGGGTGCTGCTCCCGAGTCTCTTTGTGCTCAAGGCTTTTGCTCTACCACTTGAACCATAGCACCACTTTTGGTTTTTGTTCAGTGGTTATTTGGAGGTAATAGTCTCACAGGGACTTTTCTGCCCAGTCTGGCTTTGAACCGTGATCCTCAGATCTCAGCCTCCTAAGTAGCTAAGATTACAGGTGTGAGCTACTGGTGCCCAATCAAAAATAAAGTTTTTAACCCTTCTTTTAAACCCTTCCTTTCAACAGAAAGCTTGGAATTCATCGGTCTCTACAACTGCAGAAGAATTACCTAACTTGAAAAACAACTATGCTATTTTCTTGTCAAGAACAAAAAAAAAAAAGTATACTGTGGTACATCCGGTAAGAAGACTTCACCAAACCAATTCATAATCTAGATAACCTGGAGGAGACGGTGTAGTAAAAATATTATATTAGGATCTGAGAGAGGTACTTGAGTAGCCTGTGTACTGTCTTTAGTTAACCTGATACTTCCATATTTTAAAAATTGAACAAAATTCTTAAACCTAAGCAAAAGTCCATGATTGCCCAAGAAGAGGGATTACATGGAACTTCCCATTTTGTCAGAAAGCATTCATTCTTGGGACACACATGAAAGCTGAACTTACTGTATTGAATCGGGAATAGAAGGTTTAACTTTAGGTTCAATGCAAATTTTTTTTCTTTTTAATATGTGTCTGTTTTGAAACTCAAGATTCTTCAGTGATGTGTTTCAGTGCTATAAACCTGTATTTTAACCTATATTGACACCTGTTTTTAAGCTAAAATACCATTTTATGATTAGCTCCTATTGAGTACATTGAAAACGTAAAGTAGATTGAATTTCAAAATTAATTGCTGGTGCCAAGATGTGTAACTTGACAGAAAAAGAGACCCTATCTGAAAGATAATCAGTGAAAACAGGGTTGGAGGTATAGCTCAGCAGTAGGGCACCTTCCTAGCAAGATTGAAGACTTGAGTTCAGACTCTAGTACCACAAAATAAACAAAAAACATGAGCTTAAAATTATCTAGGCATGTGCTTGACATGTAATATATTTTCAGTAATTTTAGGTAAGTTTGCCTTCCAATAGGTCATGTCTTTATCTTAAGATATTTTAGGGCTGGATTTTATTTCTTCAGTACTTCATTGCTATACATACATCCTAATTCATTTTAGATGAAATATATTAAAAGTACTGTTTTTCCAGTATACATATTTTTAGATCAGAGTAGAAGTACTATGGGGTGAGAAAGAACAGTAGAAGTTTCTGAAGGCACCTGGTAGAAGTGTGTATATGTACTTTGTCTGTAGTTGGATATGAGAATGCAGGTCTGTTCTAAAAAGAAAGAGTTGTTCCAATTGCTTTGTCCTAATTTTTATTTTTAATCTTCTATCTTAGTTTCTTTTTGGATCTAAATGCTTTTATTCTAGTGTTATCCTTTTTACAATTCTGATAATTAAAAGTATTAGGTGAGACTCTGGCTCCCCAAGGGGGGAAAATTTAGTCGCAGAAACATTTGTGGTTTAATCCTTTTGCAAATCATAGATCCTTGGAAGATCCTTGTGTGTGTAATATGTATTTAGTGAAAACAAATTTTACTCTCAAATTAAGAGTTGAGTAAGTCCTCAAATATATGAAATAATGTAGTAGTTTTATAATTTGCCCTTCAAATAAGAGTATTAGGAAGTTTGCCTCCTCGATATTATGTACATGGATATGCATGACATCCTAAAGAGTATGCACTTTAATTCCAATTTTTTTCACACTAAAAACAGCTGGTTCCACAGAAAGAAATTACATGTACACTTCTTTTTATTTTATAAGGTCCCTGAGATGTATTTTTCTATTTAAAAATTTGTAGCATCAGCATTAGTTGAATATAAAAAGATAAAAGTATTGCGAATAGGATAAATGGAGGATGGATGCAAACCAGGTATGTTTATTAGGCAGTCTAGAAACAGAATGCAAAGGAATAATAGGAGTAGTTGATGTGAAAAATAGATAGTTTTCCCAGGCTGAGTAAACAAGTGAGTCATTAATTTGTGGAGCTCAACAAAATAATAAATCAAGATGTTGAATGGTAGTGTATGTGCCAAAGTTCTCATTTTATAGTACAGAATTTAAGATGTAAAATCTTGGTCTAGGATTTTTTTGTGTGGGGTAACAATGACTAGAAATTTAGGAGGCTGAGATCTTAAAATCTTGGTTGAACCAGTGTGGGCAAGAAAGTCTGCGAGACTCTTATTGCCAATAAACTTTTTGAAAAACCCACAAAACCAAAAAACCAAAAACCAAAAAACAAAACCAGCCTGAGTTGAGCTGTGGCTCACCTGGTAGAAGGTTATTTAGCCTTGACAATTAAAGCTAAGGTACAGTGCCCAGACCCTGAGTTCAAGCCCTAGGATTGGCACATTTGTGTGCATTGTGTGCATGTGCAAGCATATACACACACACACACACACACACACACACATCCCCCAAATAAAAAACAAAAAGACAAAACAAAAAAGATTCCCTTGAGCTATTAGTATTAACCCTTGTATTAAACATGTAGTGGTGAATATGAAGAACAAACAATCGCCCCTCTCAACAAAAACCCCCACGGACACAATTCCCTGTTGAAGGAATTATTGTCAGAATGGAATCAGAGAAGTTGGAGCAGGTCAGTTCTGTTTAGTTTAGACTCCAACCTGAGGCCACTCTGTCTCACAGGATAAGATTGTCAAAAGATGGATAAATAACACAGTTAGCTCATTTCTGAGACAAGAGATATGTGTCAGAAGGCTTTATCATAGGGCTTTGTACAAAGAGTGAAAAAAGTTTGTTAATTCTGAATGCTTACTTTTAAATATTGTTGAACCAGAGGTTGGCCAAGGGTGCCGACTTCTTATTTGATTAGCTCTTGTTAAACAGTAAGCAAAGTCAAAACAAAGTCAAAACTCACAACAGAATGTCGTGTGTACTCAGAAGCTAATGAGTTATTTTTGAGGGAAAGGAATATGAGGGAAAGTGGATCCTAGAGAACTGAAAAGGCAGAGGGAGCACTGAGTGGTTCTGGAAATGGTCACACAAGAATGCTCTCACCTCTAGGCTGAGGAACAACCACAAAAACGGGCTAGAAATGAAACTTTAAAACTTGGAAAGCTTAGAGTGACCTGTGGAGCTTTGAAGAGGGGTCAGGGGTACATTGGTTATAGCATTTTAGGAGCACAAAATAAAGATCCTTTGGGTCTGTGACATAGATCATCAGGGCCCTGAGGATAGAACAAACATGTTAGAAATAGATTTCAGCTGCACTGTGCTCCAAGAATCAACATTGCTCTAAAAATTGTTCTACTACCCTCTCCCTTTCTTTCCTTTTACTTTCCCAATAGAATATTTGGTTGTATTACTTGCGCCATATCCCAAGCCCCATGCCAATGGAATATTCGTAGAAATGATTAGATTCTGGCAGAGTTTTCATTTGCTCTGTGGGTTGGTTACTTGGTGGTTGGTATCTCATTCTGCACCTAACCATTGGCGTAGCACACACCTAATATTATGATGCATTTCATACCATAGGCATAATAATATAAGGTAAAGATGTTAAAGGATTGCTTTCTGACACTCTGATGAGAGAACTGGTCAAAATGTACTTGTAGACATCCTGTACTTCCATTATGTTTTAAAGTCTGTCAAGCTTTTATTTTTCCTAACTTTAGTAGTTCATAAAATGGTTTTCATAAGCAAACAATAAGACTAAGCACTATTGGGTGGGTGCTCCCTGCGTCATGGTGGGAAGGAGGAGTGAAGGCAACTGCCCGGCAGGATGCACTTTTGTGATCCAGATTCACACAGCTGCTTCCTGACTGGCTGCTGGTGGCACTCAGTACATTTATAGGTATTGTAAAGACAATGGAAGTCTCTGGTTCGAGATTACTGTTCTAAATTGTCTTCCTTCTTTCTTTCTTCCTTTGTTCCTTCCTTTGTTCGTTCGTTCCTTCCTTCTTTCCTTTCTTTCTTCCTTTCTCATACACCTCAGCAGCAAATTACAGGTTTATGGAGAAATGATTTTATATTACTCTTAGGTTGACAAAAAATTTTTTGTACTTTAGTGTACTTTTGAGAAATCTTGTTCCAGTTTTATAAATGCTATAGAAACTTAAAATGAACACCATAAAATGATCTGTGTCTAAATAATATCGGAGACTTGTCACTTATGGAGTCCATCCAAATCCTGTATCTTGTGTTAACCAGTCATTATTTAGTCAAGCCTGTGGGAGTTAAGAGGAGGAAAGTCTGTTCACGCAATTTGAAAATCTTTAGTCAAGACCTTTTAACTTCACCATTTAAGGTCCTTGATACCAGTGCAACTATATATGTCACCTCTCCATATGGCATAAGATGGTTATTAATACCATTAAGCCTTCTTTATAAAAAAATCACAACTAATGAAACATGGCATTTCGAAATGTTCAAGTGTCTAATTACCTTAATTTAAGATGAATGTATTCATGAGGAGTCAGTTTATTTCAGTATATTTAAGTATTTGGGAATTTATATCTTTTCAAAATGTCCTCTAATTGTTAAGAAAGTTTCAGTGCTGCATTCATGTGAGGAAATCTGATATCACTGATGAGGCTAACAGTCATCCTTTGGCCAATCTGGAATATTAAATTGTGAGCTTCTGCTCATCATTGAATAAAAGTACATGCTAATGGCTCTTCCACTCAGATGTTTTTAGAAACAAACATTCCACTTTATCATGAAAAATTTTACTCAAGAATATTTAAAATTTTAATTTTTTTTTTACTAACACTATGTCAGTCACAGGTTCATATAATTAAAATAAGATTGGTAGAAAAAAATAAAGTGATACAGGTAGAGAATTCAGAGGAAAGCACAAAGGCAAAGATATGAAGTTTTATAAAAGAGAAATACAGAGAGAATGTATTGATGTTAAAAAGTTTGATAGGATATATAATTGCATAAGAAAAATAAAGCAGAAACATATTGAGAAAATTGCGATGGTTTGAGAATATTCTAAGTATGGGATAGAGCTGTTACTTCTGGGCTGAAGAAGCAGATGGAAAGGGCCAAGTCCATTCTTCCACCAGCCTTGAGTGTGTTCTGTGGCATACCCTGTGTGCGTCCCCTTCCTCCCCTCCCCGGTGGCAGTACCCAACAAGGACACTTTGCATATTTTTTTTTGTAGTGAGAATATTTAAGATATACTCTCTTATTAATACACTTTCTTAGTATGTAGAAAAGTAGAACTGTTTGTAGATTCTGAGATTTAGAGCTGAATGATAGTAATTTAAAGCTACTATATTTCACCCCTTTAGATAGCTACCATACATTTGCATCTTTTCACACACATTTAAATTTGTATAAAACACTGCAAATAAATGATTCCCATGTCTAATGAGACACAGCAATCATTTTTTTTTTTTTTACAAGGAATGCTTGTACAAGTGCTCTCCCAAATGAGGAGATATGTTCTCAGAAATCATTTTCTTAATTTCTGGGCATAGTCTGAGACCATCTAAATATTTTGTTACTTCCGTATTAAATGGCAGTTTAAAAATTTATAGCTCTTTTTACCTAAATGCCAGATCACACTGCTTTACGTATTATAACACAATACCTGACACTGGGTAATTTATAAAGAACAGACACTTAAGCTTGATATGGTGGCACACAGCTATATCCCAGGGCTTGGGAGGAGGATCACAAGTTCAAGGCCAGCCTGGACTACACAGTGAGTTATAAGCCTGTTTGACTCTTATAGTGAGGCCTTGTCTCCAAAAACCAAATAAGTAAACTTTTTGTTGAACTTCTACTTTTGTTTGAATATGTTTTTCCATATTGAATATGGTTTTCTTTGTGTAGCTGTCAATGTTCTCATGTTGCTGACTGTATTTCTTTAAGATATCATTTCGAATTCTTTGTCATACCATATTTTGACACTGGACCAAGCCTGGATACTGAGCCCACAAGGACTTCTTGGAGCTCAGAATTGCCGGGCAGGCTTTCCTGTAGGGGAGGCCAGGTACATTAGGCTATGGTTGGTTGCATCATTCAGCTATATGTGGCAGTTACATGCTCAGTTCTCTTTCCTTCTTATTTTTCTTTTTTAAAATTTAATTTCTTATAGTTTTTTTTTAATCGTCAAGGTGATGTGCACTTGGGATTACAGTTACATAAGGAAGGTGATGAGTACATTTCTTGTCAAACTTGTTATCCCTTCCCTCATTTTTTCTCCTACTTACCCTTCTCCCTCAGTCTTCCTCCCACCCCACAGTTGTACAGATCACTTCCAATATATTGTCTTGTCCATATTGACGGTGCATTGGTTCCCCTCCTTGTCTTTTGTCTCACTATTCTGTTGTTCCCCTTCCCTTCCCTAATTCAGATAAAGATATATACAATACCAGGGTACCAAAATCAAATACAGTGAAAACAGGGGATATACCACAGGGGAAAGAACATACAAAAGAAACGAAAAATCACATAGTACCACATAGTACATTAACAACAACAACAACAACAAAGAAAAACCTCTTGTGTCCATATCTTGGAGTTCATTTCACTTAGAATCTTCTTAAATGGTCATATGTACATTGTTATTGAGCCAGTCTGTTTCGAGAGATTTCTTTTATATGGTGGTGTCTGAACATGGTGGATATGTGAAACTGTCTTCCATATTGTGTGGACACAAGCCCATGACTACACTTCTTTTGCTGTGAAATGAGTTCCTGATCAGAAATAACGTCTAGAAAAGCATGGTGGTAGGAAGTTATTTTGTAAGTCCAAGAATGTTGGCCAAATTATGTGGGTAAAGAAAGCAGGTGTCCTTACTTATGACCATTTGTTAAGAGGTTTGAGTCAAAATTAAGTTGGATTCTTAAGAAAAAATGAAGTATCTTTCTCATTCAGGGAGAGAGAATTATTTGTTTATTTATTTACGATTGCATTGTTTTTCCTGAAATGCTTGTAAAAATTTACTTGTAAGGCTTCTAGGATTTAGATTTTCTTTATTGGAATTTTTAAAATGATAGGCTCTGCGCCCTTAGTAAATATCAGAATTTTATTTTTTCTTTTTTCTACTTTTCTAATTTAATTTATGAGAGATAGCATAGTGAGGGAAACCCATTATTTGATATTCCTACTTGGGTGACAGAGACTCCTCAGATTGGTTTTGTTTGCTTTCAGAGAAATTTCTAGGTGTGTTTGGTGAACATTAATTTAACCTGGATAAGAATTTTCCCTCAGATAAATGTTATTCTGGAAACAGCTCTAGAGAGGGAGATTTTTTCAAACTTATGCAATTCTGATAAGTCATCTCAAACAGTTGATTATCTGACATGTAAATATCTACATTTCTTAACTGTTATGTTTTGGAAATTTTATTTTTAGTACCTTACTCTAAAAGTACAGCTTTGATTTGAGCTTTAGCATTCTCAGGATTTGCAATGATAATTTTTGTTATTTCTGATTAAAATAAACACTCAAAATCAGGAAGTAACCTAAAAATAATATTATTGTAAATGTTAAACTTTTTCTTCAACTTATTTAAATTTCCTTACTAAATTTAAAATATTCACACTTAAATTTCAAATTTAGCTTCAGGTTGTATAGAATGTTTTGGCACTTATGCACTAGAAAGTCATAAAATTGAAGCCTATTGATTCTGTCTGGTATTTGTTATATTTAGTAACATGATGAAGCCCCTATTCTGTAATTAAGTATGTGGCCCAGTATTAATGACTCTTGGGAATATTGCCAAATTAGGAATTAAGTGTCATCAGGTAATTTTATATTTGTATTTTTTTGAGACAGGTCTCAAATAAGGTTAAAATGAGATTACATGGTGATCATTTTTATTTGTATAATGATAAATTATCTTATTTATATAAGATTACATGGTGACTGCTTATTTTTATTTGTGTGTTTTTAATGCTGTACTTCCATGATTACACTTCTAAGGGTAAGGCTCTTTTGTTTGGGAGGACCCAGTAGGTCATTTATGTCTACAACCAGCCCAATGTGATTTCACATCTATTACCAACTGCTTTTTGACCTCTCTCCTGTTTTGCATTTATTTCTAACTTTAATGCATCCAGACCAGAAGTTTCAAATTTGTGTGCTTATATATTCTTCATCTGCTCTAATTCAAGAAAAAATATAATTATTTTTAAATACAGCTCAAATGTAAATCTACATTTGAGGCAGAGTATGTTTTAAATGAAATTTGAGCTTCTTGCTTAATTCCCAACATGAAAATCCTAAAACCAAAGTGTTGTAAAACCTCACAACTTTTGATTGCTGACCTGGTGCCACTGGATGGATTACCTGATGGGATCACAGTTAGAATGCAGGTGCCTTAAAATTACTGTTTGAAGTTGTATGCAAAGTATATCAGTGGCATAAGTTTTGTTTTTAGACTTGAATCCCACCTCCAAGGCATCTCATCTTCTATATGAGTAGAGTAGAGCTGGGGACATCCAAACATGAATAAGTTATCTTGCTACCTATTGTATTTCCTTATTTAATTCTCCTAAACACACTTCTATGTTTTGTTTTGGAGGCACATGGAAGCTCAGGGTTGTTCTGTAGTTTTTATAGTTAATCAATAGCTGAGTTGAAGGTTAAACTTGCACCTATCAGATTCCATAATCCATGGTTTTAGCTCCATATTTTATAGCAGAAAGATTATGACAGAGTGTGTAAGTTTATTGGCACAGAACATTTTTGAAGGAAGAATATACCTGAGTAGGAGTTATTTTAGATGATTTCTGGCAGTGAGGAACACTGGTTTCCATGGAGATGGGAATATAGCTTGGACAGAGGAAGCCTCCATCGCTTACCCAGTAGCCAGCCATGGGGAGTAGCTGATCTAGTGAAAACACAGATCTTACAGTCTCTGGCCTATAGAACTTAGTAATTCTCTGGGTCTGCAATTAAATTTATTGTTCTTTCTATTTGAATGAAACATTATTAGATTCTTAAGTTTATTCTTCCATCAGAGAGTTTGTTAACCTTTAACTCACAAAATTCATTCTCTTCAAATAAATAAAAGGACTGGAGCTCATGCAAATCTTATGTTCTATCTTGGAAGGTATTTTTTTTTTAGTATAAAAATGAGTAAGATCAAGATATATTTTCTGCTTTTCAGACAGTATTAGAAGCAATACCTAAAGCAAATTTAACGCTAAACAAGGTTTCTAATTATCATAAAATAATACACTTGAAGTCATATATCAGTTGTTTTTGACAGTTACATACCTCTTTTCTTCACTCTCCTACTTTGATAAATAAAGCTTTGTTTATTTTAAATACACCGTTGATCTCAAGAGAATATGTGAACTACAAAGTGAAAGAGCTATCACTGTTCCTTTTAAAATATTTTATGTCTTTAAGTAGTTGTAAAAGAGTTGATCTTTTACACAGAAGTATATGAATACATACAATGCATCTTAATCAGTGTCACTGTTCTTAAAGTGCATGATTTTATGAAAAAATCTCTCTAAACTTTTATAGCTTGAGACATTTTTGGCATGTGTTTTTAGCTTCCAGATGTTTGAGTTTCTCACATTTTTTCCCATGAAAATATTTATTTATTTATTTTTGTGACTTTATGTTCTTTTTTTTTTTTCTGTAATGAACTCAAGGTCAAGGTACTGCCCCTTTGCTTTTTTGCTCAGTGGTGGTACTCTACCACTTGAGCCACACATCTACTGCTGTCTATTTGCTGGTTAATTAGAGATTAGAAGTCTTATAAACTTTCCTGATTGCCCTGGTCTTGAATCTTTTTTAAATATATACAACAAATTTTTAATTATGTACTGAAAATAAGTTGCAGGAAATAACTTTAAAATGCAACAAAGGACAAGTCACAATGAGCATTCCCATTGAATTCCCTTGGTGGGGCGGGGAGTGGGATTGCAGTGCTCAAAGAAGATAAATATCACAAATATATCAAAACTTTGAATTGTCTATGCATTCACACACTGACATGAGCCACAAACATTCCTTTCACAGGGACTGTACTTATTAGCCTATCAGATTTTGCCATAAACTATAAAACTTTTAATACAAAATTATATTTATATATTTATAATTCATATACATTCCCTATCTATGATTTTAGAAAATAAAAGCTACATGCTGTATAGTACAGACACTCTTAACTCATAGCTGTAGGCAACATGTTTGGATGGAATCTTTTCCCCTAATAAAATTAATGATATATTTTATGTACATGAAGGCTAAACTGCAAAAAGACAGTTCAGTTTCCCAGATATGCATTTCTTTTTAGGGCTGGTTTACAAATTTAAAAAGGCAAGACAAGTGTACACCTCAAAATTACTTTCTTAGCCACAAGAATTGTCATATAATTTTCGTGACGTTTTTGGTACATACATTTATGTAATACTGGTATTGAAGGCAGTAAGCAATATACACTTTTAATGTAGTGGCTCAATAAAGGCTTCATTGTCATTCCAATCTGATTCTTGATACAATGATTCATAGATCTGATTCTTGATACAATGATTCATAGATCTGATTCTTGATACAATGATTCATAGATCTGATTCTTGATACAATGATTCATAGATTCTCTAAAAATTAAAATTTCAATGGGTCATTATGTTAGAGACTCTAAATAGATTTCTTAAAATAGAGTGTG